CTTTATATCAAAACATTTTTTGCCAATCTGATAAATTTTTTTAAATGCTCTTGTTTTTTATTTACACTCTAGTCATTGGTGAGGTTTTCATACACTTATTAGCACATATTTTGCTGCTTCTCTTTTTTCATATTGATTTCTAGAAGCTGTTTGTATTCTGCATATTAACTCTTTCCTGTTGTGTGTATATGTTGCATGTATTTTCTCTCCTTAGGTAACATTGTTTATGGTAGCTTTCCCTGTATAGAAATGTTAATTTTTTTGTCATGTCTATTTAACCTTTTCTGTTATAGCTTCTGACATTTTGCCATGATATTTCTAACCAGTTTTATAAAGATAATGGATATCATAAGAAAGTGTCCTATATTTTCTTTTAGTCTTTTACAGTTTTGCAAATGTTTAGATTATTAATCCATCTGGAATTTTTTTCTGGAGTATGGAGTTAGATAATGTACTAGTTATGCTTAATTCAGCAGAAGGGTTATTTTACTCAGATAACAACTTGTTATGGGTGCTCACAAGTAGACACAAGGAGATTCAGAGACAAGACTCCCTCCATCTTATGTCTACCTGCCTCTAGGTAAGGAGTTAGCAAATTACTATCTACAGGCCACATGCAGCCCACTGCCTGTTTTTGTAAATAAAGTATTATTGGAACATAGCCATGCTCACTTGTTTACATAGTGTCTATCTCTGCTTTCCATAAAACGGCAGAGTTGAGGAGTTGTGATAGAGACCATATGACTCACAGAGCCTAAAATATTTACTTGTTTGACCCTTTATAGAAAAAGTTTGACTCCTGCTTTGAAGTTGCAGCGTCTTTAGTTTCCACATGGCAGATGGGGGAAATCATGCTGGAGGCTTTCCACGGGTGGGGCCTGGAAGAGAAGCATGCAACTTTCAACTTTCCCCTTCCTTCCACTGATCAGAACTCAGTGGCCTGGCCTTGCCTAGCGACCTGGAAAGCTAGCAAATGTGAATTCGTTGTGTACCTAGAAGGGAAGGCAATGATAAACCATTCTTTGCCAAGGTGTACCCTGCAATTATTCATTTCTTTCTTCCTCCCTATTTTTAATTAGAATAGACTAGATCGGGGAACCCTAACCCTCAGGCCATGGACCAGTCTGTGGCCTGTTAGGAACTGGGTTGCACAGCAGGAGGTGAGCAGCATGGAAGTGAATAAAACATCATCAGACAAAACATCATCTGTATTTACAGCTGTTCCACGTCACTTGCATTACTGTCCAAGCTCCATCTTTTGTCAGATCAGCCGAGGCATTAGATTCCCCTAGGAGCTCGAACCCTACTGTGAACTGTGCATGCAAGGTATCTAGGTTGTGTGCTCTTTATGAGAATCTAATGCCTGATGATCTGAGGTGGAGCTGAGGCAGTGATACTAGTGCTGGGGATGGCTGCAAATGCAGATTAACATTAGCAATGAGGTTTGTCTGCACAGAGGCAATACTAAATCAATTGCTTGCAGACTCATATCAAAGCCCTATCAGTGCGTTGATGCACTTCAATGTGTATTTACAGCTGCTCCACTGCATCTGGTAGCAGGTTTTAAGTCAGAATCCAAACTTATTTTAGTCTGCACGTGAGCCACCCATTATTTTATTTACCACTTCCATATGTGCCTCTTTTTTTAAATAGTGGATTGTATAATTATTTCATATTACAATGTAATAATAATAGAAAAAAGTGCACAGTAAATGTTATAGGCTTGAATCATCCTGAAACCATACATTCCCCCCACCCCTGGTCCATGGAAAAATTATCTTCCGCAAAACCAGTCCCTGATGCCAAAAAGATTGGGGACCACTGGGTTACATTGCAGAAACTCAAATCTTAGTTGCATAGAACAACAAAACTGTATATCTTGTTCCTATTACTTGTCCACTAAGGCTCAGCAGGGATGGCACTGCTCACTGCTGACATTCACTCCAGCCTGAGGAAAGAGCCACTGCCACGCAACTAGATGTTGTGGTACTAGGAGGTACTGCCCCGAAGTGATACTCATTGCCTCCAGTCACCCTTCATCGGCTGAAGCAACTTGCAAGACTACAGGATACAATTCTACCGTGTGTTTTGGAGAAAGCAGAGCTAGACTATAAGCAGAGCTAGACTAAATCCTAATGGACAGCACACTCACACACAGAACACATTCATCCACTCCCAAAGGGAGATAACCTAGCTTTCATTCAGCCACTGTACCCAAGGTCCAGGGTCCCTACATGGTAGACACACTCCCTAGCAGGTCTGAATTTTGATTAGTGATCTGAAACTTAGCAACTAAAGTCATTCTCCATCCCCAACATGTATTCAGATATCAAAATTCTTAAGATTCACAACCAATCGTGGCCGAAAACAGGTTTCTGGGATCTGAGCTATTTCCACAAATATGAACCTTGCTCTGAATGGCCATGCCTAGAGAATCAAGAGACCAGCACGATCTAGGGGTGGAAGGAAGGGAATATAGTATTTTGCCAAAATCAACACTGCAAGAAAAAGAGTTAGCCTTATTGGAGGATGTGGCATTGTTCCTCCATGCTTCAGTTAAGCGCCTTGAATAAAGAGTGTAGGTGACAATATAGAAGAAAGAAATAGACACAAATTAAAAATACCCACAAGGAAATTAAAAAAAAAAAAATGAACATATCTGGTTCATCCCTCAGAAAAGGTCTGTTCTTAAGGTTTTTGTTTGGTTGGTTAAGAAAAGACCTTCACTTTTCTATTTGGTTTAGAAAACAGAAAAATAAGTCCAGGTGCAGTGGCTCATGCCTGTAATTCCAGCACCTTGAGAGGCCGAGGTGAGAGGACTGCCTGAGTACAGGAATTGGAGACCAGCCTGAGAAACATGGTAAGACCTCAACTCTACAATAAATTTTAAAAATTAGCTGGACGTGGTGGCACATACCTGTGGTCCCAGCTACTTGAAAGGCTGAGGCAGAAGGATAGCCTGGGCCTAGCAGGTCAAGGCTGCAGTAGCCATGAGCATGTCACTGCACTCCAGCCTGGGTGACAGTGTGAGACTCCAACTCAAAAAAAGAAAAAAAAGGAAAAGAAAACAGAAAAATGTGATTCACAGTTTCTAACCATGAAGAATCATTTTGAATAGAGTCATACAAACATTAGCTAGGTAACCTCCTAATCAAAATCTTAAACAATGTAATTTTTCAAATAAGCATTCAATATCTGGTGAAAGCACCAACATACATCTTTTTTAATTGTAATTCTTTGGATTTTTATATCTCCATATAATAATAGGAATGTAATTTATATGTTTTTAAAATCATTGATGTTTAACTCATTAAAATACTGCTTTTGTTAGTTATTTGTTGTGCAAGAAACTTACATATGTTTCAATAGACATTTTAAACCCTCTCTAACAAAACTAGTTTTCATTTTTTCCAGAATAAACTTATCAAAACAGCAAAGGTTAATTTCAAGTTTGATTTGAAATTCACTGCGTATACAACTTTTAAAAGTATGATTTAAAAAATTTGATTCCACTGAGCCCCTTAGTTAACTCTTGAAATATATAACTGTTGTCTTCAGAGTTACTTTATACTTTTCAGGGGTTGGGACTCCATTCCCGGTTAAAAATTCGTTTCAGCCCTGTTTGTGTCCAGTGGCTACCACCATGCTCCTATTCTCCATTTATTTTTTCATCAAATTCACTGTTTTCACATCTTTGCTCTCAACACACATAGAAGTTCTTTTTTTCTTTTTTTTTAGGGCTACTACCTACAGTACTTACTGAGAAACAGTCCTCAAATATAAAAGGCCACACAGGGACTTCTGGAAACCCTTCCTTCCCTCTGGTCATATTCAGTTCTCGGAAGCATTTTTCTGTCAGACTTCACTAAACAAGTGAAGTGATTTGGAGTCCTGGGAAGATTATGAAGTAGTAGAAGAAAGGAATGAAGAGTGAGTTCATGTTATTTCCGAAGTCCTTTCTAGTAAAGCAATAATTTATTATTCATTTTGGAATTCTAATTATGGAGCAAACCTCCCCAAATTGAAATGAATTATTTTGCCAGAGGACCTAAAACGTACATATTTCAAGTCAACTGGATTAGTTTGACTTAGTTACTTATTATACCTGCATTTAATAAGCAACAGGATGCTGTTTGCCCTTTACATAGAAACAAGCTTGCCTATCTGTAGCTCAGGTGGGCCAGACCTTCTAGGTTCAAATCCTTCTCTAACCCTAACCCTTACTAGATAAAAACATAGGTTAGCCTCTCTGTGCCTTAATTTCTTTATCTGAAAAAAGGAGAAAAAAAATTACTTACCTGATAGGGCTGTTTGAAGAATTAAGTGAGCTAATACTTATTAAGACACTAACAAATATTGTTCAATAAATCATAGGCTCTAGACACCAATCTGGGGTAACAATAAGGTAACAAAAACCACCACCACAGTCACATAAGAAAATGAATTTCTTTCCTTTCAGCACCTCTGTTTCTCATGGCGGCTGAGCCTTGTCAACAAAGGCACATTATGTCAGTAGATTTGAATTTTATCCGAAAGATGTTTGTATTTTATTTAAAATTATGAATTCTTGAACATGTATACCCGGGCCGTTAGAGTCAGCAGCTTGAGAGGCATAACCCACTCGGTTCTGATATTTGTAACGGGCTTTGACATCCAGGGAGCCTCTGAGAAAGTTATTGGTATTGAGAAAAAGAGAAGCTAAGAAGTCACCCTTCAAAGAGAAATAAAATAAACTGGAGAGCTGCCTGCATTTCACTCTACCGCCTCTGGAAGAGGAATGTTATCTAAAGTGCTTCCATCAGGAATAATGATTGAGAAACTGCTTTGACTCTCTGACTACTACACCCCAAGGCAGAAGTCCATGGCTGAAGCCCACGGTGTCCATCTGTGACTTGGACATCACACATGTTTAGGGCCCAGCGGGGAGCCCTGTAGGGCAGGGGGCAGGACACTCCGGGTTAGCGGGTTTCCAGGTCAGACCCGAGCCCCAGCAACAGCCCGATTTTCCAGGTCACTTCCGAGTAGGCGCTCTGTGTTTATATTTCGAGCTCAGCTCTCCACCAGAAAGCATCACTACCTTCCAAAAGGAGAAGCGCCTTGTGTTTGTAGGCAGGGCTGGGGGGGAGCAGAGTTCATGTTCCCGGGCCGGGTAGGAGGGTTCTCTTGCAACACGTGCGGGTTGTGACAACATCCTTCGATGACAGGGGGAGTTCCAGAGAGGAAGGTTTAGGGAAAGGCGAGGAGCCTGGTGTGGGGCAAGGCAGCAAAGTGCGGAAGCTGCTCGGGGATTCTTCTAGAAAGTGGGGTGGGAAAGGCGCTAGGGAGGGCGTGTGGAGGGACGGGATCTGTGTCAGAACGTGCGTGTGAGCGGATACAAAACCCGAGGGAGGCGTGAGCAGCGCTGTGTGTGCGCGGGAGAGGGGGCGCCGGCCGGGCGTGTGTGCGCCGGGTGAGTGACACGAGGGGGCGGGGGGCGCCCGGTGAGTGACACGGGGGCGGGCGGGGGGCGCCCGGTGAGTGACACGGGGGCGGGCGGGGGACGC